TAATACAATTCACAAAGATACAGGAATATTATTTTTCCTATTTTACCTGACAAGGCATTGCAGGTGTTCCCTGTCTTGGGGTCTCCATCACCATCAGCGTTCTTATTGAAATTCATGGGCATTGCCTGAGCCTGGGGATTCCCCAGCACTGGATGGGGAGGGACAAGGCCTTTCACAACTGAATCTACTTCCTGTAAGAGAAGTCAATCCAAGGCATTCAAATCTATTTTTACATTTAGGACTGCATAAAAAATGGTGGGTAAGAATGGCATCTGCAAAAAAATGAATAGCCATAAAAGTACTTTAACCACTAGTAAAGTTTTACCTCATCACCACTGGAGTGAGAAGACACCGAGCTTCGATGCACCTCCCACTGTCTCTTAGGTGCCTCCTCCTGTGTCTGACTGTGTGCTGCTTCCCTTTTTCTTTGTCTTACAGCTTTATGAGACTTCTTAATCACTCCAGCATCTGCATCATCTGGACAGAGGGGTATGATTAAAACAGAGGAAGTGTGGTCAGTCCAGCTGGACAATGACTAATTGGTGAAGATAGCCAAATGAACAAACTTCATAAAGTGAAATTTACTGAAGTTGTATTTCTTTAATCATTTTGATGACTTGTAGATTATGTGATAAGTGAACAAATGAGCTGGACTGTAACCTTTGTCTGTACGTCGTCGGAATGATAACTTTCGCCTCCGTAATTTATTGAATCCCCCACAGTTGGATTCGTCACTGCTTGGAGAGCCTGGGATCATGTTTGTCTGAAAGGAGAAGGAAACTGCGTTAAATGACAATTATTAAAAGGGACATGGAGATTCAGGAACATTTTTGCTTGGATGCTTAAATACAGCAACACATATTCATTACATGGATAGAAGGAGATAATATTAGCAACAGAGAGCAGACATTCAAATAGTCAAAATATCGCCAATGTAGCTGAATCTGTGTAAGTCCCTTGCAACATTCAAATTGTATCTAGGTTGAGTTTGTAAACTCACATCTCGAAGATTGAAAGTGATTTCCAGGTTGTTCCAGAAGTGGTCTGCAAATTCTGGATACATGTCCAGCACCTCCAGAACATCTTCTCTGAGGATTTTGTGGAGGTCACAGTAGGTTAGAGCCCGCACATCAGCATTGGATTTACCTGGTTGCGCATACAGGTTGATAGGCTCACCGAAAATGTCATTCTTCCCTGGGGAAGGTGTAAAAAAGAAAGCTTTAATAGATAAATACAGATGTGGAAAGTAACTAGGTGTATTCACTCGAATACCACACAGAGTACATATTTGAGGTTTTGCACTTTCTTCTACTCTAAAAATTAATATTTGAAATACAAATGAAACTTCCTATACTTGTGCAACTGGAAGAGGCCTTCTGTAATGTTCTCCTAAAGCAACACTGAACTATTTGGAGTATCATTCTATCCTCACCAGTAGATGGTGCAGTGGAGAAATGGAAAACCTGTGCTCCAGCCTGCAACGAAGGCTGGACTTGAAATAATGAAAATAAAATTCCAGTCTTTAAATTAAAATGTAAAGCTTGAACTGAATGAAAAGAAGAAAGAAGTCGTTTTTAATTTTATCAGGCTAATTTACTTCCTAATAACTTAAAAATAAAAAGGGGGCAGGTGTTAAATGGTAAATGCAGTTAATAAAACATGGTGGAAGTGAGAGTTGTAAAAACACTTTGTATTTACCCAGTATAGCTACGACCACATCTCCTCTCAGTATCTCTATGGATCCCCTGGATATAAAGTAGATGGCAGTGAGGACATCCCCGGCGTGGACCAACGTGTCACCTGGGGGTGCATGGGTGGTCTTGAACTTCATGGCCAGTGCCCTTAGGCATCCTTTGGTGGAGCCTTTAAAAGCCTTGCAGTTCTGCAGTAATGTCCGGTTCAGATGGAGGCAAATATCTGCCTGGAGACACTCTGGGAAACCTTTCAGAACCTGGGGTGAGGGATTAAAGGAATGAGCAAGCAAAGGGAGGATGAACACAAGGACAAGGAAGGAAAAAGGGATAGAGAGCAAATGAAGAACAAAAGGAAAAGAAAAGAAAGGCATTGAGGCAAAAGAGGTGGAAAAAAGCAAAAAGCAAAAAAGGGTGGAGATAATGGAAACAGAAGGAAGAGATGGGAAAAAGAAAGTGTATAAATTGATAAAGAAAGGCTGTATTGATACATTAGGTATTGATACATGCTATTAGCAGTGTTCGTGAAATATTTAGTTTAGAATCTCACAGCTTATGGATGTTTTAAAAGGAATAATAAAGTGGAGCCTATAGTGTCCTTATTGCCTTCTTTATTATTGGTCAACACTCATGTGACATTAGCTTTTCACTCTTATTACACAGTTCCACTAATTAACATGACAAAACATAACTACCAAACATTAATCATTAGATAACTGTTCTAATCTCTGAAGAAGTTATGTTTTTTTCAAGTTTTAGGCTTTTAACCTCTAAGTAGAAGACAAACATAAGCAGTCTGGGATTTCCAATCTTTAAAGGTCCTATGCATTGATTTTTTTCACTCTAAAATTATTTAAGCTTTATTTCTGAGGGTGTACATGAACACAGTCAGAAAGCCTTGTTCCAGCTCTTGTACTGTAAGTGTCAGGCTATTGACTGTATCTTTCTGGTTGAATGCACAGGTCGGAAGTGTAGATAAAACACCTGTGTCTCCCTCTCCATTTCTCTCTCTTTCATATGTTTCATGCTACTTTCTTCATTTCAGCCTTTACTGGACACTCTCTTCATATCTCTATTGGCCACATTCCACTTTCTTTTGTCTTTTTGTCCCTTTTTCACATGCTTTTAAAGTCCAGTAATCATACCTTTTTTATTCTTTCCTGTTATGTCTTTTCAGTTCTCCTCAAAATTTTAAAGCCTCCTTTAAATGCTTCAAGGTCTGACTTGAAACATGAAAATAGACTGATTAACCTCGCTATAACCTCTCAACTAAAAATCACTTTTGCAAACTTTAATAATATCCTAACATTACACCTTGTGCACACTCAGCAACCATTTTGTGGATTTGCGAGGTGCCAGGTACAAGCACAAAATGTGCTGAAGTCAGATTTTACACCAGCTGTATCAGGTCTACTCTTAGCTCGGGTTTAATGGTGCATTTAGCAAACAGTAAACTGCCAATTTTCAAGGCTACACTGTAATTTTTATTTATTTATTTTTTAAATAAATGTTTTCTTTCTGATATTTCACCATGAAAGCCTCTGGGACAATCTCTACAACTGTAGGTGAACATACAGTAAATATGGTACTATACTGCATATGTAGTTATGTGTACTGGACGTGCAACTGCCTGATTGATAATGTTGTATTATGTCTGTCATTGTTGGATCGTTTTTGCATCACGTTAGGAGAGCATTAACTGTAAATTAAAACAAACTGTAGATACATTTATAACATAAAAACATTCAGAGAAGGTGAAAGTATTTTTTAAACCCTGAGTGTTGCTGGAAGTCTTCTTTTCATGCTGCATACAAGTGCAGCACAACAAAAAATGTATAAATATATGTAGCCTCATAGGCAAAATAAATAAATTAATTAAAAATATCTGCAAAGGACTTGTGGCACCACCTGCTGCTGCTTGATGTGAACACAATACAAATGAGTATCGATAATTTTTTATCACCGCTGCTATTTTACTGAGGAATATTTACAACTATTATATGCATTGCCATGGAATTGGGTACAGCTATTTACTGTTCCCAGATGATGAACCCCACTGACACCGATGGTCTTAAAGTCTGATATTTCCTCCAGCACTAACAGGCATCAGGTTTTTCAACTGTGGGGAGAGTTAATTGCTCCTGGCTAAAGAGAATGACCACGCTGGCTTGATGCGAGTGTTTTTCCATTGGACTACACTGCACAGCAAAATAAAGTAGTTTACCTGTACTGCTAATGAAGCACTGCTATCTTGGTGAGACACAAATTACATTTCCAATAACTTTTTCGCAATAAAAGTATCCTGCTGGCAGCCACAGCAGGAAAGGTTGGCTTTGTTTTATGGGGCAACTTAAACATCTGATATAGCTACAAGGAATCAATAAAACAGTAAATTATGGTTCATGTCTGAAAATACAAACAATAATACAGCACTGAAAATAAATTCTGAAGTCCAGGTAGATGATACAGAAATACTGAGGTTGACTGAGATCAGTCCTACCTAGTGGGACCACAGTAGTATGACTCAGTGCAGTTATACTCAGTTATGAGGGTGTTTATGAAATGTTCTTCAGCTATAAAGCTTGTCAGTGCGACGTATGTTGTCATTAATGCTAAAGAAGTTCTCCTACCAACACGGGAGTGCTATTTTAGGAGGTGCTCCCATGGGTCTTATAAGGGAAAAGGGACAAACGATCATATGAGTCATATACTGTAGGTTGAAGGTCAGTCGTTCCTTGCTCCTTTATTCTAGGGACAGTAATGGGTTTTAAGTCACCTGAGTTTTGATGGTGCTCACACACAACTAGGCCTACTAATGTGAAGTTGTTGTGACACTGTGTTGAATTTTGGGTATATGCACCACGGATCATGTTCACTATTCTTCATAGAAATATACACTATATACATATAAAAGTTGATATAAAAATATATATTATCCCATACAGATACATACAGTAGCGGATGCTTCAACTATGTCCAAACATCCACTTTAGTGTTCAGCCTGAGCACAGACAGGACAGAAAGCTAGTCCATATACACAGTGCCTGTCATATCAAACATAAATAGGTCTGATCTGGTCCAGTGGCTTTGACACAATAATACAAGTCTGTGGTTCAGTTCTGGTCCATATACATGCATGCATAAAGTGGCCATCTTGCAGCCTACAGTGGTAGATAACAGCCAGAGCTGGCCCAGAATGGACTGCTATCCGGGTAAAAACAACAACAACAACACATATTCATTTCATTTTTTTGGCCCAAATGTATCCATCTATTATCTATACCGCTTGTTCCTGAATAGGGTCATGAGGGAGCTGGAGCCAATCCCAGGTGACATTAGACGAGAGGCAGGGTACACCCTGGATAGGTCACCTGTCTGTCATAGGGCTGACACTTAAAGACAGACAACCACACACACTCACTCATTCACTCTCTCCTAGGGGAGTGCATGTCTTTGCACTGTAGGAGGGAGCCAGTGTACCCAGATGGAACCCACGCAGGCACAGGGAAAACATGCAGACTCCACACAGAAAGGCCCCGGGTCGGCCGGGGCTCAAACCCCGACCCTTCTCGCTATGAGGTGACAGCGCTATCCACCACTCCACTGTGCTACACCTAAGCTTATTTATAATCTAAACAGTTAACTACACGCAAAAATGGCAAAAATAAAACACAAAAATAGCAATTGAAGTACTTCATTATGAAACCACTATTAAAATATTAATGTAGCTTAACTACCAGCAAGCTACTGCAAAATGTAGTTAAACTACTAGTTTAATGTAGTTCACCACTCCCCAACACTGAGACTATGGGTGTAAAATGCAGGAATCTAGATGCGGATCACAGATACAGGCTTTGGTTCACATTTGTGAGTGTATAGCATGGTTAAAATGTGAGCTGTTATGCAGCCTTCACTGACAGCTGGATTGATTAAAGAACATGGACATCTATTCTGTCAGAGAGGCGGACAACTGAAATGCTTTCTGTGTAGGAAAGTGCTGTGCTGCAGGAACCAGCATCTCCACCAAAAGGATGCATCATATAAAAGAAAGAAAAAAAAAAAGTCTGGTTCAGCTTTTTGTGAACTGCAACATGACATCATCCAAAGACACTGCGTTGGCTTATCACTTACATGCAAGTGTGTGTTTAGTGTTTTTCTCATGTTTACCTCAGGATCATCATCAAATATGAAACAACTGTGATGATTATGTTCTAGAGTTGTCAAAGACCATCTGTGAGTATTACCAACCACTGTGATGTCTTTTAGCATCTAATAACCTTTAAACACATAAATCTGCTCCTCCGCTGGAGTTCCCAGATCATACTTTGTCTCAGTAGTCAAACATCAGCAACAAAAAACTGACCTGAGAGCAGATTCAGTCATCCACATGCAAAACAATAACAGATGTGTTTCTCTTTCCTCATGCTTTTATCACAACACTCCTGTTGCTTAGAGTTTCTTATAAGTGCAGCATTACTATTTTCTCCATCCTCATGAATGAAAGACGTTGCAGTTCATAAAATCAGTCATGGACACAGATTCTGCTTCACACAGTCATTACAGCAAACATCCAGGGTGCTCATGATGCCACACTTCACTGTGTCTTTAAGGGCAACAAGAGGGAAGAGGGCGGGGGGGGGGGCACTGCCACTGAAAAACTATGTATGCTCATCAAATTTCTTTCCTTTCTACTTCAGTGGCTCACTTATTACACTGAAATGAAACTTGATTTCAGTGATGAAATATTGTAGAAGCATTGGAACTTTGCACCCAATCAGAGTTCCTCAGCTTTTCTTTAATTAATGAGGATGCTGGTAAGGTTTCCAAAAGTTTTTTTTTTTTTTTTTTTTTTTTTTTTAAAGTGTACTTTTGGGCCAAGATTATGGAACAGCTTACAAAGCATGAGAATTTATAGTACCAATTATCCTGCATTAATATCTAAAAGAACACTTACATTGTACATATATTTTCTTCACATACTACACATGAAGTGAGATGACATCTGACTCATGCAAAGCACTAAACATTTACATCAGCAGATCTTGAGTGTGTGTGTGTGTGTGTGGGGGGGGGGGGGGAGGGCCCG